ACTTTTTCCATCTTGAAATACTATTTATAGATGTCAAAGAATTTCATGCTTCCTCGGGAGCAAGCTGTGCATTTACTCCAACGGGTAAATCACAATCCAGGGGTATTTTTAGTAACTGAAATTTTGCAGATATAATCTCCTCAACGCATAGACCAACGTCTATAGAAAAAAAAGATAATGTCTTAAGATAGTCAACCACTCTCCAAAAAAAAAATTTCGATTGAATAAGGACTATCCAATTTTGGAGGGTGAGATCTAAGTATTAGAGAACTCAAATCCTTTTTTTTCCCTTTTGAAAATAATCATGTGGTGATTCTACAGTTAACTTCATAAAAACAAATCATGTTGTGATTCTTAGGTGGTTCCCAAATTTTCAGATTAAAAATTCCTCCCAAGTTGGTTTTCTGCTTGAGGGAATATGTGTACTATATATGTTGCTGCGGGAGCATAGTATACAAACCATTTAGAAAAAAAAATTCTTGGTTAAGGGCAAAATTGGAAACAATGCAAAGTGCCCTCCTATCAAATTATGACATGGTATGATCACCATCTCCACAGGTTTTCCTATAGAAAGCCCTTATGATTAATCAGTCATGTTGTCAAACTGCTGAAAAATGCAAATTTGGCAATTTTTATTTTCTTTGCTTTTATGTCCATCTGCCCTTGCATTTGCACTTATAGATCCCTTTAAATACAGGTTCTTGCATGACAAAGTGAAGCCCCATGTGGTTCACCGAGATATTCGAGCAACCAATGTGCTACTGGATGAGGAATTCTCAGCGCATTTGATGGGTGTTGGCCTCTCAAAGTTTGTGCCATGGGAAGCCATGCACGAGCGAACAGTCATGGCAGGCACCTATGGTTACCTTGCCCCAGAATTTGTTTACAGAAATGAACTCACCACAAAAAGTGATGTCTACAGTTTTGGGGTTCTCCTTCTTGAGATAATAAGCGGGCGAAGGCCATCACAGTCTGTGGATTCCATGGGTTGGCAGAGCATATTCGAGTGGGCGACACCTCTGGTGCAATCACATAGGTACACTGAGCTTTTGGACCCTGTCATTCCAGACATTCCGGAAGTTGGGGTGATTCAAAAAGTGGTGGACCTTGTATATGCTTGCACCCAGCATGTTCCCTCGGGCCGTCCAAGGATGTCATATGTGGTCCACCAATTGCAGCAGTTGGGGTTGAAAGTTGCGTCGTCTTCTGCTCATGGAGGAAGCGGTGACCCCACCACTTCATCTCGAGCAGCATTGGAGTTGAGGTCCACTCCTTGAGGCAAGTAAGTGCTCTTTGACTTGGACCTTTGTAGTGGTAACTCCAAATTGAGGGGCTTTTGGTTCTCTTTAGAAATATAGGTCTCTTTAAGTGCTTTTGGCACCTCAATGTTTATGTAGTTCCAGAATTAAAACAACGTTTTACTACACTGTAGCCCATATTCCTGAACAATACATGTGGTTCTTGATTTAGTCCTGTCTATGTTAATGAAAATATTCTTCTGTTGAGTTGCGTTACGTTTGTGGCTGCTAATCTGCATTGCAACTTACCAGTGTGATCTATGGAGCTTGTACTGATGCAAGATCCATATGCTAGTGTAAGTTACTCTAAAGTCATATTGTCCAAGTGCTGTTATACTCTGATATTTCTTTGTTACTTGTAAGGCTTCTTGCACAGAAGTTGAAAAGAAATGCTTATGCACTACCCAGAATACTAGGGTTGCAACTTAAAAGATTTTATTTTTGTGTGTTTCAATGATCTTGTAATTCAGTTTCTTCAATATGGAAAGCTGAAATAGCACTGAACTAGCAAGTGACACTGGCTTTGCGGGACGCTTGAACTTGGACCTTACATGAAAAATAATTTCTAAATACTATTCTAAATTAAATATTAACTTATTTTTTCTAAAATATTATTGTAAATTAAATATTAACTTATTTTTAGAATTCTGATTTAACTTTTAGTTATTAGTATTATTCTTAAAATGATTTAATTTCATATATTTTAGTTCTTATTAATTTTTATGTTTTTATTTTTATTTTTCATTCTTTTGGAATATACATTACCCATTCTATAGAGTAAAAGATATCTAAATTATCCTTGGAGTTTTTGATACTGCCACATCAGAGTGAGAGTGATGAGATTGAAACAGTAGAAAGAGAAACAAGGGATGGTATGTAGGTCGATTCTGCTCTCTCTCTGTTCAACTCTACTCTCTCCGAGAATGGCGGGCTCCTCTTTCTCTCGACAACTTGAGATTTAGCCTATAACCACACTTCCAACCTGAACCATACCCAAGAAGGAAGAAGAAACGATGGCCCGTAAGTACACATCCAACCAGAACTGTCCCCAAGAAGAAAGAGATTCAAGAGGCCATGCTTGTCATTCCTAGGTTTTCGAGCCCCGCCCTTTTTAGGACTTCAAAGCCAAAGATGCTGAGAGATCAGCCCATCATCCTGTTCATGGGTTTTATGGATGAGAGGGAGTCAAAGTCAATCAAGGGAGGCCCAAATCTCCAAAAGCTATTTTAGATATGTTACATTGGTAGATGCAGATGAGAAGAGAAGAACGAATGCAAAAACGACCCAAACAAGAAGGTTAATAAACAGGCATCTAGGAGCGATTTAGAATAGCAACATCTTAATGAACCAGATGAGCAGTTGCGAGCCATTGGATTGCGGGGATCTCAGATTTGATGATTGTTTCTTTGAGAGCTTCCAAAGCATGAGGAATGAGTTTAACTATTTGGTAAAGGAAGCTTCTGCTGGGAGGTGCCAAATATCACATTTTTTTTAAAAAAAATGTTTTGTGTTTTTTCTAATTTAATGTGTATGTCGGATAACCCGCCAAAAGTTGGGTCTTTCTTGTTTATGTGTTGCGTGGGGGTTCAACTTTTTCAGTGAGGTTTCTCATCTCTCTTTCCTGAGATTTTAGGCATTGCTTTTGTAATCATGTATTCTTGCTGCTGCTAACAGCATTTGTTTGCACTAGAGGTCTGGGAAGTACTTGTGGGTTTTGGCTATGGCTATCGAAAAACGAGAAAGTTCACTCAATAAATGAAAAGTATAACAGGTGGTTTTAGATCCTTTTTTCGTTTGTATTCAGGATCTTAGGGAATCAAACAGATAGGAAGAGGGGCTGAAGGTCTTAAAATCTCACCAAAACCTAATCCCCTTCTAAAAACAGTGAAAACCTTACCTATGTATCATCAACTTTTGATGAGCAACAATTGGAGAAAATATTGCAAGCATCAGCTATAAGTGCATCCAATCTTTGGGAAGATAAGACACTTGATCGATGGGAAAAACATTTCTGATTACTGATATATCTGATGGAAACCACTACAAGATCAGAAGTCAGAACCCCACAGATACGAATCATAATGCATAATGAGAACCAAAATTCCTTATTTGGTTAAGGCATCTGCAACTGCAACACTGAGTATTTGATATAAGTAAAATGTTTGAAAACTGCAAGTTAATGAGAATTATGGACATGATATTAGAGATCTCAGATTCGTGGTGTTAGTAGATTGATATTTCTATCTGGTTTTTTGTTTAATAGGACTTGTTATTTAAAGAGAGAAATTTTAGGAATTCTTCATATACTGGCAACCACTTGCCCCCTCTTTTGACATTTATTCTAATCTTGTACAAATGATATGGATTTGCAAACATACATGAAATTTCTCGAATAAAAAGAAACTGAAATTTAAATAGTCAAACAATAGTGCAATCATATTAAAAATATGTCTCCCTAAAACCACTTGACAATATTTATATTATCCATACAAAAGGATATGAATAAAACCTTGCAACAGCAATAAACAATTCCTTCCGAAAATTACAAATTCCTCCTGAAAATTACAATTGTGCCCAAATAAATTTCTAAGGAGAGACACCATCCTTTATTGCCAGAGAAGCTTGCCTTCATTGATACGCACGACAATCTGCTCCTTAAACCTAGGACTTGAGATTTTTCGCAGCTTTTGGAAAACTCACCGACCTGATGGATTGATGAGCTGGGAGAAAACTGCGCTTGTGTTGAGCCCATCTGAATCCTGGCTTGTTACACTCTCCTCCCTTTCTGACCCAACAACGAAGGTGACATGATGGTTGCCGGATTCTGGCAACCTTGCAGGGGCTACATCTGCAGGAATCTTGCCCTCCTCTGAGCCCTCTTGTAGCTGCAATGCAAACTCTAAGTTCCAAAGCACATCTCCCATGGCAGGGCGGTCGACCCCACTATCCGACAGGCACTTCTCAGCGGTCTCTGAAAACTTCTTCAGGCACTCTGGGTTTATCTTTCCCTTCAAGAATGGGTCAATTAAATCCTCCAAAACCCCCTTCTTCTGACAGTGCAAAGCCCAGTCGGCCAAGCTAACCTGCTCCTTTGGAAGGCTGGGGTTGAGCGCAGGCCTTGCACACAAGACCTCGAACAAGACCACCCCAAAACTGTAGACATCAGATTTATCAGTTAGCTGCTGCCTCCTGAAGTACTCAGGATCCAGATATCCGAAACTTCCCTTCACCACTGTGCTCACATGGGTGTGGTCAAGGCCTGGGCCGGTCTTCGAAAGCCCAAAATCCGAGACCTTGGCAATCCACTTCTCATCGAGAAGTATGTTGGTGGTCTTCACATCCCTGTGTATGATGGTATACTTGGCTCCTGTGTGCAAATAGTGCAGTCCTCTTGCTGCACCGATGCATATCTCTAGCCGCTGCTTCCACGAGAGTGGTGGCATCTTGCTCTTGTAGAGGTGCTCCCTAAGCGTCCCATAGGCCATGTAATCATAAACAAGGACCATCTCATTGTTCTCCTCGCAATAACCAATCAGGGAAACAAGGTGACGGTGCCTTAGTTTCGAAAGCATCTCAATTTCTGTTTGGAACTCGTGAAGTCCTTGCTCTGATGAGGGATTGGCTCTCTTGATGGCCACCTTCACACCATTGTCAATCTCTCCCTCGTACACCTTCCCAAATCCCCCAACCCCCAAAACGAGGGACTCTTCAAAGTTCTTGGTCGCCTGCTTTATCTCTTGGAAGGAAAAGTGACGGCAAAGATTCGCCGCGAGGGACGACACATGGCTGCTTGCAGTACTCCGACCTGAGACAGTTGAGACCTTGCTGTTGTTCATCATCTGTGAGTTGCCACCACCATACAAAGGCAGCCATCCTGAACCGCCAGCTGAGTCCGATGAGGGCTCCCTCTTCTTCCTATAGTAAACTGCAATGCAAATGGCAAACACCACACTAAGAGCCGCAGCCCCACCGGCCGCACCCCCAATCACGTGGATTCTTGAGGTTGAGCTTTGCGTTTGGGCTGCTGTTGAGGCCATCGATGGGGGGGATTCGATCGGGGCCGGGGTAGGGTTTGGGCCAGCGAGATTTCCGGTGCTGTCATTGAGCTTGAGGATCTCGAGGCCATTGAGAATGGCATCATAGTATTCGGGGTGGGCTGCCTGATTGGGGTGGAGTGCCACCCATAGGTAATCCACCCCTGGCTCATCAGACAAATAGACAGCATAATCTTTGTGGACAGGGACTGCCCTGCTCTCAGCCCAGGCTAGCACATCGGCAGCTCCCTGTTACAAATTTATTATCATTATTGTTGTTGTTATCATCACCATGATCTTCATCATCAAATATTTTTAAATTGAAAGAAAGAAAATTGAAATGGCCCTGGCATTTGTTGTTTATAGCAAGGGATCATGGTGGAAGGGAAGGGTGGTACATTAGAATGTGTTATACGTGGTATTGCTACGTTCCCAAATCAATGGTGAAGATGCAAAAGTAGATGCCCCCATGCATGCCTCACACAAGTACCCTGAAGTGGCCACCTTTATTCTACTTTTCTGAAAGTTTGTGGAAAGAAGAAAGTGGGTGCATGAAAGTAGAATAAAATAGAAAGAAATCAAATAACGAGCAGTTTATGCGTCGGGGAATACGTTTCTACATTTGCATCCCCTAAGGTATAAACCTTCCTTCTAAAGATGGATGTAAGTGATGGTCCAAGAAAAAGGTGAAATCAATTCCTCAAATATTTTTTTCTAAAAAAATATCATTTAGTTTTTTTTTAAAAAAAATTAATACACTAAAGAACTCCATGTCAAGAATTGTATATTCTTTAAAAATCATTGTCAAAATTTATTTTGGAAATGGATTATTAAGGGGGATCGCATTTCTACGTATGAGTCCAAGGACTCATTAGAGACCGTGTCCATTAAATAATGCAATTGTAGTATTAGGGGAAAACTACATATGGAAAAGTTTAAAAAACGCTTGTAGACGAATTGTTATAGTGTTTCGCTTCCGTCATGGACATGTTATGTCCGTGACAATTTTTTCTAAAAACTACTATGGACTTATAGGAGTTGTGGCGGTCTTTGTATATTTTTTGCGTCAATTTTGTGTAAAAAAATTCTATCATAGACATGCTATATCCGTGACGGATCACCATGGACATCTTATGTCTATGACGGTCTTTAATCCACACCGTCCAAAAAAATGAGACAGCGCTGACCTTATGGGCGAAAATACTATTCATTTTCGCGCATAGGCGTTTTTGCAGTCTCTTCCATTACATATTGCCCTGCTTAAAATATCATACGGACCCCCAATAAGTTTTTATTCACACCATATACAATGCCAGGGGATTCGTGTTAGAAAAAAAAAATACGGTTTTTAGGCAAGGGGTGTAGTAATTTTGCCTAGTATTTACCCATCCTCTAGAAAATATATAAAAGGGAAATGATATTGTGAGCCGCTCAGCCTATAGAACAGCATAGCCTAGATGGCATAGATTGAATTTAACCAGGGCCATTGTCTATTTGATTCTAATCTTTCTTTATGCATATTATTATTTTCTTAGTTGTTTAGTACATACCTTGTATTATATATAACATTGTCTAATGGGTGCAACCTTAAACAATCCAATTGAGAGGTACCTTCAAATTTGGTCATAACATATAATTTTGATGTAAAATATTATTAGGATTATCTCAAACCTATTTTCATATCTAATTATAAAATTTTAAACTTCAAAAATGGTCAAAATCAAATAAATCAATAAACATATGAAAATTTTGAAAATGAACGATCTAGATAATGTGTTGTACGATGCACTATTTTTGGGACTTAAAATCCTTTTTTCTTTCATATTCATACATATCGATGTCGAGATGCTCAATTAGAGGGTTTTTCAACATTAAAACAACCTTTTTCGATAGATTTTTTAGGTGCATCCGTGGTTCAACAATTAAGGTTGCAACCTTATATAAACTTTTCCCTTGTCTAACTATTAAATTTTTTTTTTTTTTGGTGATTCTCAACTATTTTTTGTTACTTCTCTAGCTAAAAACATCCACCATTTTTGTTACTTCTCTAGCTAAAAACATCCACCATTTTTGTTACTTCTAGCTAAAAACACGTGATTTTTAGTAGATTACTTTAAATAAAGTAAAATCAGCTTTTTAGAAAGCATAACAATTATTTTTAAAGCTGCCTACAAGTTTCTCTTATAATTTTATAAGGTACATTTATTGTCAATATTAATTGTATTAAAACAGTGAATCATCTTATTAAAACAGTGAATCATCGCTGATGGCCATGCAGGCGGTTATAAGAAATTAATTTCTTCACTGTTTCTCTGCAATTGATGGGGTTGTTAAGAATTATGAATAGTACGTAGTAGACTCCATTGAAATTTCAGCTGAAAAGTTTATTGAAAATTCAACTGAAAAATCAAGCAAAGATTCCAAACCCCATCTTATAACTGAAAGTTGTCTGCAAATATGGGAACAGTTGCTCATGATACGCATTAGCGATTGTCAATTTGCATAGGAAAAGAGAAATAAAATAAAATAAAATAATAAAAGACAAAATTTTTCACTAGTAATTATTTTATTGGATGAGAGAGAGAGAGCTTGGTAAAGCTAACCTCGGCTGTCTTGTTATTGAGGAAGATGTCGAAGACTCTCTGGTTAATCTTTGTGAGCTGAAGCTCGCAAAAATGGAGCCTCACAATATAGGTGAAATTGGAATCAACCTGAAATACCCATGTCAAATTGGTATTCACATTTACCCTTGAGTCTGGCCCCATCGACCTAGCTGTGCTGTACACGTCCACCGGCGCTGTGTACTCCGGTATGCTGTCCAGGTACCGTATTTTCACATCTGGGTCAGCCGAATATGTGACACCGACACCGGCACCATATATGTACGGGGTGTCATCGTACCATGTCCTGCTCATCCCGGTGTCATTCCCGGCTGCGATGTACTGACCCCCCACATTGAGCCTGAACATTGTCTGAAGAGCTGAGGTCGAAGATCCACCGTCTGATGGGTGAAACCGACCAGTGAGGGGAGCTCAGAACTTGACACGTAAATGTCGGGCATCGAGACAATCTCAATCCCATTCACGAATGCATATGCCGACCTGTGCTTGACTGATGGCTCAAATGTCAGAGACAATGATTTCCCAGTGACATTCACCGAGAATTCACGAATGATGTATGCCTGGGTGAGAGCGGTGGCAGTGATTGATGCGCTGAAGTTGCGGAGCAGCATGAAACCGCCGGAGGCCTCAACGGAGAAGAGGGCATCATCAGGGCTGAGGCCGCTGTACGAAGAGGGGTAAAAATGTAGTCTTACCCAATGGCGTCCGGGTGTCACCGAAAATTCATAGGTTGAGCGCGAACTGAAGATCCTGGCAGACATGTAGGGGATGGTGGAGGGGAGAGAGGGGTCTTGGGTTTCGGCACGGGCAGGGACAGTGTTCTCGGAATCAAGGGTGTAACGGGAGCCGTGTACATCCCCCTTCCATGAGCGGCCATCGGCATCCACCCCATCGCTGGACGACCCACAGTTCACGAGGATCGCGTCGGATGGTGCATAATTCTTCCCGGAGGACCCCGAGAAGAAGCTCATGAACAAGAGGAGATAAAGAGAATAGATGGTGGTGGTGGTGGCGGCGGCAGCTAGGCCTGATGTAATAGTCATCATGCTTTAGGAGGCCCCTGCCCCTCCGCTCTCTATCATTCCCTCTTGAACAATGCAACAGGAGAGAGAGATTAGAGGGAAAGTGGAGAGAGGTTGGGGTGTGTGAAACTACCCCTTTTCTCTCTCTCTCACAGTCTTTTCTTTGAAGCAAAATGGAATTTTACAGAGGGGAGATAGAAAGTAGAGAGAGGGTGGGGTTTGTGGAGGTTTGGACGGACTACCCCCAAGGTATGCGAGAGACATGGAAGGAAGGTAGGAAAGAGAGAGAGAGTAGAGAGAAAAACAGTTACTGTTGGATGGGTAAGAGTTAAATACGGGAGACAAATGAGTAACAGATCTTTCATTCTACTAAATTTACACATTTCTGCTTTGACCATTTTATTATTGTGCTCTCTGTCTCTCTCTCTCTCTAGGGTGGCAATGGACTCCGATCGAGGACCCGAGGGTAGATCCGATCAGGGTACTGAGTATAAGTCCAAAAATTGAACTCAGTCGGTTTGGGTCCTAGTATTATTTAGGTCCAGATTTTAATGTATTAAAATATAGTCAAATATATATATATTTTAATTTTTGGGTTGGGTCTGTATCCCACATTATTTTTTGGTTTTGGGTTTGGGTTCGGATCTAGCTGGATCCGACCTGACCGAATTGGACATGTTGCCACCCTTAAATAGCTAGTAATCTCTTTACGTGATCTTACATTTGTTATTCTCTCTCCCATCTTCTCCCCATTTTCTCTCAACAAGGGTTCCACTTTTTCCTCTCTTTTTTTTATCTCCATTCGGCTACATTTAAGTAGGTATTAATCCCTCGAATCCTAAACGCTTTCTATAACTTTCTCTCTCTAGTTTGCTCTCTCTCCCTCCCTCCCTCTCTTTAATGGAGATCTAGGACTTTGATTGCACCATTGAAATCGCTCATCTAGGGTTTGTTAAAGCCCGAGATTTAGCATTTTGTTTTTGCCGGAAGAGCTCTCCTGCCGATTTGACAAGAAATTGTCCGGATTTGGTGGAGAGCTGTTTTTTTTGCTAGAATTTGGAGATATTTGGTTGGAATTTAACGCTGTTTATGCTGGAAAAGGGGTTTTCCGGATTGATTCAGGGAGAGTTTTGTTCTCTTCGGTTTATTTATACTCGATGCTTTTCAAAGGCAAGAAAAAATGGCTTGATTAGTTGCAGTTGTTTGTTGTTCATTTATCTTATTTTAGTGATATGATACCGAGATTAGATTGGGTGGGTTTCTTGAGTTGAGTTGGGTGATATTTGTCGTAGGGCAAAGCTATCATTTGCTGATCTTACTTTGGTCTATTGCTTATGTATGCTTCACTTTGGTATTACCTTCATGATGGAAAACTATGGTGATGACTTTTTCGTTCGGAAAAAGTTTATATAAAGATGCTACCTTATAACGTAGAACTACGGATGCTCCTCAAAAATCCATTGGAAAAAGTAGTTTTAATGTTGAAAAACCCTTTGATTGATCTTCTCAACATTGAGATGTATGACTATGAAAAATAAAACGATTTTAAGTCTCAGAAATAGTGCATTTTACAACATATTATCTACACTGTCCATTTTCAAGATTTTCATGTGTTTATAGATCTACTTGATTTTAACTATTTTTTAAATTTAAAATTTTATAATTAAATATAAAAATAGATTTTGCGATAATCCTAAGAACATTTTACATCAAAATTATATACCATGATAAAATTTGAAGGTGCACGTCTACACCTACGGTGCAAACTGCACTCTTTTAGTTCATACTTCATACGGATCCTATGTTTTTTTTCTTTTTCTTTTTTCATCTTTCTTGGTGTGCATATTTTTTGTTGCTTTTGTTTTGTGGTGGAACCGGGGATTGTTGTTAAATTGAGGAGGGCCTACCCCCTTTTTTTATTTTTTTATTTTTAAATTTTTTTTAATTGAGGCTTCAATGGTATTCCATAAGATACAAACAAATTGATTAATTATTATTTGAAATTTTACCCATTTTGCATGTCACTAGTAAAAACCCTAGTTAACAAGTCAAGCCGCGGAATAACAATACATCGGCTCACCACAAAATCAGCATTAAATCAGTTTTGGTCCGAAGTTGGAAGCAAAAATTTGGGGGGAAAATACAGAGCGGCAAAAGTATTGGACGTGAAAATATCGCAAACGGATCGGATTAAAAAATCGAACATATTTAAAATTTTAATTTTGAAATTCTAAAACAAAAGTAATTACAAAAACAAACAATAAATGGGTACGGTTTGTATAGAGCCGAGGTTCTAAACAATCAAAATAAAGCATACCTTCGAGTAGATCTTTTTTCGAACAAGACGAGGTATTGTACATTTTATAAGAATTTCATTAGAATGGTTGTAGCAAAAATAATTTGTTCAAAATATGTATTTCAGACATCAAGTCAATAAAATACAAAAGGTATGGTTAAGACATATAATTTTTAGCTTTTTTTATACCAAACAAGTAAAAATACCAGCACCATAGTTTATCTAATCTTTCAAACTACCACTTTTCACTTTCCTCCATGATTCCAAAAAAAGCTAGATAAAGTTATCGGATGCAGCCCTAGTTTAGAGAGAAAGAGAGAGCATGTAATTGAACATTTAGAAGCAAGAAAAGGAAAATAAGTGAGTTTGGAAAATCCAGTCGTTCTGTCTGGTCTTTTTTATGCCTAAATTGACCCAGGCGCAATTACCGATTTATATGTTATTATCGTGATAGTGGTTACGAAATTTAAAAACTATGTTTCTAAAACGTTTAGAACAATTTACCACACCCAGCTCGCATAGTTCAGTTGGTTAGAGCACCCGTTTAGTAAGCGGGGAGGTCAGGTCTTGAGTTCGAATCTCAATGAAAGCATTGTATTTTTGCCCTTTTTCTATAGAGGGCACAATTAGAAGAAATTTTTTTTTTTATTGAGATTAAGATGAAACAGTTTTAACCCCAAATTTTGGGGGCCTAAAACTAATTCTAGGTGGGAATTTGCCCTTAGAGAGTAAATGAACATTCTACTCCAATATATTTTGGCAATATTTATTTTTATGAAACAAAAGTTTAATTTTCATTAATTGATTCATGAAATGAAATTTTACTTTTTTTTTTCTATTTTTAGGTCGTTAATTATACATTGATAGTTCTTCAATTTTCTATCTAATCATTTCGAAGTTTTTGCTTGGTTGGTTTAATATCAATGTTTTCATATTCTCTTTAGAGTCTTTTTCAATTTGGTGAGAATACGAAACAATTCGCTACCTCAGCCAATTCGGGAGAAGACTTCGGATTTTTTTTTTTTAATTTAATAAAAATAAATTAGAGTTATATATAAAAATATAAATAAAAATTAAAACTAATTTTTTTTTTAAAAAAAATACATTTATGTAGATATTTCTTTACTTCGGCCGAATTAACCCGAAGCTGACCCAAGCAACAACACTAGACTTTGCTTCGCTTCGGTCTAAGCCTAAAATTCGAAGGGTTTGGCTTCTTCAGCCAAAAGCGAATCTAGCAACAATGTTTACTACTCTTATGCAGATGCACATGTGCTGCACAATATTATCTTGACAAGAAATTAGATCAAAAATAAAATTGTAATTATTTAATTTTGTAATTTTAAATTTAAATTTTTAAATTATTTTTTAGTCGTTAATTACAATTGATTAGCAGTTCAATTTTTTGCCTATTACCTTTTTTTTATATAAGCTAAATTGAAAATGATTCTAATTTTTGGCAATAATAATAATCACATATAAGCTTGGAAAAACAAAAAACATTTTCAAGTAGAGATGGATGTAATACTTTCTTTTGACAAATTAGCATAGGAAAACAATACTGCTCAATGACAGTAAATTTAAGTATGAGAGTCAAAAGAGAATGGGAGAGATTTTAAGAAATTTAGAAGGCAGATCAAAATAATTGTGCTTTGATATTTAAAGGTTACCATATTGATTTTGTAGCCATTATAGCTGCTGCATCCATTTACAAAGATATCCAGTTAATTATTCAAACAAATCATGGCAGCGAAGTTATACAAAATGCCTATATAGGTTTAGGACTCATATGGAGCCATGACAATTAACAAGTGCAAGTTAGATAAAGTGGAATGCTAAAAAAGAGCAGAGTGATAGACCTCAAAAAAACATCGTTGGAAGTAGTGAAAAAGATATGACGACTTATAGCCTCTCTAAGAGTATGGTCTTTGATAAAGTAGAATGTCATACTATGATTTGTATAGCCGATCCCAAATAGTTAAGAAAAGACTATGATGAACAATAATCATATTGATACTATTTGAGGTCTAACTGAAGTGTAACAAAATGCTATAAACAATTAAAATATGTAGAGCATGGAAATTAAACTCCATACATGATGTATTACATGATCAAATTTATCAAGGTAAAAATCTGACTTGCAGCTCTATTTCAATCCCACCAATATTGTCCTTCCAACAGAGAGGCTCCACTCATGAAATGAACCTGATGACAACTAAGAGACCCCTACCATCTCTGTCAATTCAAATAGACAGGCATTAACTCAAGGGCTAGATACACCACCCTCCAACCCCAATGCCACCTGTTGGATCCAGTACATTAAGACGTAGTACCCAAAAAATGATCCCGAGGAGACTCAGAACCAGAAAATGAACCAGAGGATACACAAGTGCTAACAAGATGGCTGATAAGCAGCAATGCTGTTATCAAGGTGAGAATAGCCACCATAGTATGACACGTTTTCAAGATGAGGATCCGAGGAGGAATACAAATTAGACCCACTTAAATTAACACCAGGTAATGAAGATGGATACGTTGTTGGCATTAACACATTTTGACCCATGTTATCATTGTTTCTACTGTATAACCCTTCTGCTTGCCATCCATATGACCCCATTCCACCTCCCACTAAGAAACCCATACTACCACTTGTTCCCAACCCAGTGCCATTCCCCATCGTCACAAACCCATCAGTCGAGCTCGCCAGTTGATGAGCATCAAAGACACCCATAGTGAGTCTAGCGGACTTCGCTCCAATACCCCGGTCATTGGATGGCAAAACCACATGACCAGAAGCCGTTTTTGGTAAAACCATGGAAGGCCGAGACCGTTTCTTTACCACTCCTAGCTTTGGCTTCTCAATCTTGTCTGCTTTCCTCTTCTCAATCTTGTCTACTTTCCTCTTTGGCTTCTCTTTCTCTAGCTTGGCCACTTCGGCATTGAGGTTCCAACCAGATATAGCAGCTTCAAATTTGTGATCTTTAGCACACTTGATCACAGAGTTTAGAGCGGCTAGTCGACCAATCTGTAGCAGAAAACGATTGGTAGAGAATCAAAACAAAGGAATGTCGGTTTAGAATTGTGGGTTTGTATGGAGATTATACATTACCCATTCAGCATCAGGGGGGCCCTGTTTTTTCTTTCCTTTCCTAGCATCTTCCAGGAAGGCCTTCAGCAGAGGCAGTGGTTTGAACTTATCCTGAAGCCCAAAAGTGTAAGCAAGATCCACAGCTGCAACCTGATTCCCTCTGCTGATCAGTCCTTCGATCACATCTGTCAGGTATTGAACTCAAGTGAGGAACATTATTTATACAAAGGATAGCAAGTGGTGAGGATTTCCGAATCAATAGCTCATATGCCCTTATGCTCAAGATTAACAAATGCAAGGGCTGCGCGACTACACTAGCACAAACAAAAACATGATAAACTTACAATAAACACAATTGAAGACGGTTATAATATAATTCTGTAAATGATAGTCACTAGCCCCAACCAATTTTTCTTTAATCAGTTAGCCCTAATCACAGTAGAACATTAAAATTGGTAAGGTGGTGGTTAATGCAACACAGGAACTTCCAATTTTTTTGACGAGGAATCTAGCAAAATGGTGATTGTAAGAGGATGGGCTACAACCCAGAAAAGAGGCAATTTTAGTTAATCAACAAGGGACAAATGCTCTAAAAAATTTAGAACCTCAAGAACTAAAACTTTATTCTCTTTTTTTTTTCTTTTTTGGGAAATGAACCTTAGGAGCTACATTCACAAAGGAAGGAAGCACAAAATGGAGGGAGAACACACCTAATTCTGGATATGGATTTAGAAAAATAGGGAAGATGATTTTTTTGAGGAACAGCCGAGGCACACAACTGTTGAGGAGATTCTTCGCTTCAAGTTTAAAATACTGAGATTGATGTTCAAGGGGCTTATTTGTCTGAGAGATTACTAGTAAAAGGTGCCAATTATCACCACTCTGATACTGATTGCATGGCAACATACTCAATAACAAATCTCATGCCTCAACACAACGTTTGAAAAATCTCACACTTCTCTTGACTCTGAAGATATATTGGCTGCTCTTCTGTTGTTTAATTGAAATATGGTGGTTGTCTCAATGTGGAGAACATATTTTGAGACAGTCCAAGCACTCATGCACAGTGTAGGTTTGTCTTGAGGTAAGGATGCTATCATTGGATCAACAGCTGTGATCATGAATGACCAGCGTCGTAAATGTAAATGAAGCAAATTAACCCCAAAAAAAAAGTAAAAAAGCAAAGCTTCTTTGAGCAGTTGCTAGAGAGAAAATGGAAAGTAAAAAAGGCACTCCACTGAGGAACAATATTTCTGCTAGTACAAGTGGATGTAGAGAATTGATTTGTTGCATATAATGTTAAAGGGATTATATACTATGAGACCATTTATTTTTGGTACAAGGAGGTCACAATCACTTTTAGCAATTGGATGTGAAATCCAATAGATGAAAGTGTTTCACAACATTCAAGAAATTTTATTTTGGACTTTGTGCCCAAACAATGACACATCCTCAACCAGACAATTTTCAAATCTAATAATCAATAACGAATGTGACCTCCTTATATTAAAAATAAATGGTCTCATTGTATACATTTGCAAAGTTAAATAGTGGAGCTTCTAACATATATGAGGTTATCATGCTGCACAAATTATGAAGATCCACATGGTAATTATCGTTAGGATTTAAGAACCTTTTAGATGCGAAAACAGGAACCCTGGTAGTTGGATCCCTCCCACTATGATCGTTTTAGTTAACTAGCTAGAAACAAAATCAGTGAGAACACGAGAAACAAAGCATAAAATGCACAAATCAAGAACAAAAAAATTAAAGGTAGTTCACCCCAAATAGCTATATCAACGGGCATAGAAAGCAAAAATCGTACAATACCAATGAGAGTTACATCACAGATTATGGGACATAAAGCCACCTCTGTAACCCTTGGCAAAACAAAATTGACCAAGCCTTTTAAACCAGCTCTTCCGATCGACACTACTCGTCAATCTCACATCTCTATTCCACAGCTAAACTACTGCCCAAGAAGAGAACCGTGAAAGCAACCGGGACTTTCTCTCACTAAAAAGGGAAATTTCTCAAAATCTCCATAAGAACTGCTTCTCTATAAGAAACCAGCATCTCACTTTGTAGGAGGCACATCGTAGCATCTCTCTCCATAAGAAGCTCAATTCTCTCTATATGAGAGCCTTGCTTGTCAAGCACAGGAGGCCAATACCCCTTTCTCACTCTCGAGAAAGCCACCTTCCCCTTATGGTGAACCCAAATAGGGCATACAAATTATTTCTTCTCTCCTTCCAAATATATAGGGCAGTATGTACAACTCGGGGCACATATAAAAATTTAAAAACAAACAAAACTATAAAAAAATATCTCTCTCCAACCCCTTTTCATTCCTCTCTCTCTCTCTCTCTCTCTGTCTCTCTCTCCATTTGGGTTCTATGTATCTCTCCATATTGTTGGACTGCACCACCATCTTTCTCTATCTAGAACATCATTCTTAGATACCACTTTCATTATTCTTTTATTGCCCCTTTGTTTCTCTCTCTAGAGAAGAATTATGAATAGTACGTAGTAGACTCCATTGAAATTTCAGCTGAAAAGTTTATTGAAAATTCAACTGAAAAATCAAGCAAAGATTCCAAACCCCATCTTATAACTGAAAGTTGTCTGCAAATATGGGAACAGTTGCTCAAGGTTATGAATTCCATACTAGATATGAATCTCTGAGATGTCACACATATCCCAAACTTAATACATAACCAAGAGTCCTAATCTAGTTGGGCTTTGACGGGCATCTCAACTAACTTAGGAAACTTATCAATATCAATATCAACATCAATCCCATGTAATATGGGATCTCCTTTTGGTGGTTCTTTTGGATATCACCATATTCAATAATTGCAACAATCTGATGCTTAATTCTATAGTTACACATAGCTTCAGTTTTTTTCGGGAAAGTGACATAGCTTCAGTTGTAAAAGGAAAAATGCAATTATCTTCTGAGTTATACACTACAATAAAGCTATTCCAAAGACATCGGTTTCAACTCTCAGAACGCATCAGTTTCAACTGGGAAACCTACTTATGAAATCCCTAAAAACACGATTGGCATGAAGCATATGCTATTCTTCAACCTAATGAATGATGCCAGCTCTTTTGCAAGCAAAATTCTTTTCTTTTTTTTTGGGTTCATTTTCATTCTATAGCTTTAGGCCATGGGAGCAATAGTCTTGCTCTAAATCAGGAAATTCTAATTCAAATATTTACAAACTCTCATAAATTTCAGGGCAAATTGATTCCTGCCCTGTCCATGTCTTCAATTC